CAATAATGATCACTTTGGCTTTTCTTTTTTTTTTTTTTTAAATTTTCACTCCCCCCACCCCAACCAGTCGCGGCAGATGGCTGTCCCTTTATAAACCTGGTTCTGTCGAAGGTTTCTTCCTTTTAGAAGGGAGTTTTTCTTTCCCACTGTCGCTCATTGCTTGCTCATAGGGAATCAGTTGATGGGGTGGCCAAAACTCTAGGGCAGGAGCCCCCAATCCCAGTCCACGATGGCTGGTGTCCCTGCAGGTTTTAGATGTGTCCTTGATCAACCACAGCTGATGTAAATGGATAAATTACCTTCTCAACGGGTCTTGAAGTTCTCCAGAGGCCTGGTAATGAACTAATCATGTGATTCAGGTGTGTTGACCCAGGGTGAGATCTAAAACCTGCAAGGACACCGGCCCTCATGGACTGGGATTGGGGACCCCTGCTCCAGGGGAACTAGCAATTCTTGTGAAAATTTAAAAGGAAAAAAAAAAAGGCCTAAAAAGATAAAAACAACTGATGAATATGTTCTTGAACTGAGGCACAATTTTGCATAAAATCCATTAAGTAATCTCTGTGTCAAGTTCTTAACAATATTCAAAGCGGAGCAGCGTACAACTTACCATTACATCAGTCCTTCAATCAGACCTAATTTGATCCAAATTGGAAATAAACTGGATGTTTATTAAATAAACCAGCTTTAAGCATCATCTAATTGTTGTTTGTAACTCTTTTTAAATATAGTGCAAACCTTTAGCCTCCTAGTAGACATACATGTTTTATAAATGGGAAAATCCTCTTTTCTTTAGAAAAGTTGAGCTCTGACCTTGAAGTCAAGGTCCCTGAGATTTAAACTTTACAGATTTTCAGTAAATGCAACCATGGTATTGATTTAAAAATTCTACATTGTCTCGTTCTTGAGTTATTGCATTCAGAAACTTGGGTGTCCACAGCACCCCGCCATATAACAGACTCAAAAGATTATGAGGTAGGTTTTTTTTAGGTTTGTTTGTTTGTTTGTTTTCATAAAGACTACAACACAAAAATAACACAATTGGGAATATTATTGTCATTTTTTAAAACACTATTTTAATGTTATCTAATGTAGTGCAAAAAATAAATAACTAAATTGATAACTGGCACTGAGTCTTCTGTGTGCACACAGTCTGCATCAACACACAGGGAGACACTGAGACTTCAGAAGATTTTCACTGTGTTTGTCTATTCAGCCACAACTTTCAGATTTTTCACATAACAAGCAGCACGGATTTTGTCCTCATCATTTCAGCTAGAAGTACTTTATAAGGTGGTCTTTCAAGTGAACATTGAACAGGGTTTGTACAGGTGCTTGAAATCCTTGAAAATGCTCGTTCAGGATTTAGACATTTTTATACAATCCCCCCATTTTCAAAGGCTCAAATTGAATTGAACAAGCAAGTTTTATTGTTAATAATTGACTGTTTGGAGTGTAGAACTCATAGATATCAAATGTTGTTTCCTCCCTTGCGAGGCCTTTACTGTATCTGCCTTCAGTTCTGGTTGCTTTTGCACTGTGAAGCTCTATCTGGTCAGCTTATGACTCCCCAAGTCATAAGCTGTCCCCACCCTAACTGACAGACTGAATTGTTGTGAAGCCTCTCTGTTTCCATTCATGAAGATGTCTCTTGATTGTAGTCTATCACAATGACATGGCAGTCTCCTCAAGATATGTTCATACCTTGAGTATTGAAGGGCCTGACTGCATGTGGTTTTGTGTTGCGCAGAAGCTTCGGCTAATGAAGGAGCATTTTGCCCTACAGTAATGTATTTTATGATCATTTACCTTTTACAACTAAATAATTGAACAGCAAAGTTGGGCTCTAATACTTCCCACAAGTGCAGTAACCACAACAAAACTAGTAACAACCACCAGAGAAAATAGAAACTTAAAAACATAACAGATCAAAGAATAACAACTTGATCTTTTTTCAGTGATGCCTTTCTGGAAAAGTATTTGTCAAAGAACAATGAGCACTAGATTTCCACTAGATGGTGTTATAGTAAAACACAAGCATAACCCTCATTTAGACAATTTAACCTGATACACAGTTTATGACCATGTATTTACTCTTCTGGCACTTTGCCTTCACAATTTTGTATTAATTTCACTACCTTTTGGCATGATCACCTTTTAATTTGTTTCTCACATTTGTGACAAAGACACTGCACTGGAGGCAAACAAGACTGTGTAAATACATTCAGCAAGTTGGATTAGTTTCCAGTTTCTGCTGAAGACAAGCAAAAACCAGTCACTTCAGAAAGATGTTCAGAATAAAAGCTGTAAAACTGCCAAAGAGCAGCATGTGAAGGTAACCGACATGAAGATAACAGGGTAACAAATGCAAGTGAATATGAGCATCTTTTTATTTCGCAGCTTTCCGTAAAGATGCTGAAACACAGTTTATTGCTGTTTATCATGAGAGCACGGGTCAGAGATAAGATCCCTCCAGGCTAAACCCTTTAAATCTAAATACAAGCCCAAACCGATTGTCATATTTGCATGCCAAACACTGAGTAGCGCACAGGCCTAGCACTCAGTATTTACATGAAAACAGGAATACTTATTTTCTGTTTATGTAAGAATATAAGGGTGAGAACTGTGTGTCCATGTTCTCATTAAGCTTTTGTCTGGCTGTTTATTTATATCTAAAAGCAAAATGACTGTTTTTGTATTTTGCTGTTAAAGCCGTCGCTCCTCATGCCAACCACACCCCTGCAGCAGTTCATTTGTACTGAAAACGCTTCGGGCTCTTTAATTATTTTGGTATCAAGTGTGAAATTAGAGCTGTCATCGCGACAGGGGCCCAATTGATTTTAATTACATGTCTCTCTGGGACCGGGGCAATGAGCAAACTGCTTTCCTGGATCCCATTTCACCTGATGAGGCAGACACGGGATCACTTTTCTGTTTTAAATATCTCGAGCTGTACATTTCAGCTAACAGCTGCAGCGGGCTATCAGCCAGTCAGCATTCACCTGTCTGATTCCCACATGATTTTTTTTTAAGCAAAGATGTAACCAGGAGCTTTTTTGGAAACTATCAGAGATAAAGGGCAGAAATGACCTCCAGATTATTTACCTGTGGCTAAAGGGATTATTTTCTGTGCACTTTTTGCAAGTTTAATCTGTGTGAAGGCATTATGGTTTGTAATTTCTCCATTCCCAACTGTAACATTAGAGGCTGTTCCCGTGTTTTTACACACTGCACAATGATATGTAACACCTAAAGTTTGGGATTTTGAGACAGAAAAGTTTGTTTGGAAACAGATGTGTGCACTATTTCCTCATTTAAATGCGACGACATATAAGACATTTAAAATAATGCAGTTAAATAGAGTTTCAGCTGACAAAGAGGCGTAAGCTTCTATCAAAAAACAAAAACACGAAATAGCGGTTGTACAGTATTGCAATCGATTTTTATCTCAGTCTAATTTGCTAATTCAGATTACAGAGCTACACGTGTTGTGAAAGTAAAAGGTTCAACCACTTTGCCACCTTCATATTTTCAAAATGAATGTTGCGACATGAAATAAAATGAAACCATCAACGATTAAGATAGAGCCAAATTAGACTCGATTAACCCTAAATGAAACGAGCTTCGCGTAAAAGCTCACTTTGGGCACTTTGAATTGGGATACTCCCTAAAAATGAGCACAGGAAACACAAATGAGGTTTACACAACTTCTTTTTTTACTGAGCATTATAATTTTTTGATTGCAAACTTTATATAAAGTGTTTGGAGAAAGATTTTTTTTATTACCATTTTATTAATCATTTATTCTAGTCAGATACCTTTTTTAGAGGCCTGAAGGTGCAAAAAAACAAACAAACACTGACTCTAATAACTAATGCAGGATATTTTTCCAGCCTGATCTATTAAAGCCTTGCAGTATGACAAACGCTGTGAAAAGTGATTAATAAAAGGTAAGATAAGATATCCCTTATTAGCCCCATAATTATTAAAGGGGAATTCACAATTTTACAGAAGCAGAGTGGACACAGCGGGAATAAACAGATGCAGCATAACCTAGCAACAAAAATGCATACTATACAAGGTAGAAGAAATATCATATGCACATCGTTGGCATTTTAGATCCCAAGTACCAGCAAAACAGTAAAACAGTGTTTCATTGTGGGCTACAGAGATGATCAATCAAATATCGATCATATCGATACCAACTTTGGTATTGTATCAGATCATAGTTCAGTATGTTGCCCACTGTTAACCAATTTTTTAAATTAAAAAATGTATATGGTAATTAAAATATGTTCTAAATTTAGCAAATTAATGTTGATTCATCTCATAAACCACCTTTAAAATTTATAAATATCTGTATCCGCATTGGTATCTGTGATACTGGCCATATAATTACTTGTTATTGGCTACTGGGTTTATTTTTCCTTTAACGAAGGAAGCTAGACCAACAGAATTTAAAAATATAAAATATTTTCTATTTTATAATATTTTATAGAAATATTTTTATCTGGGAAATTGAATTCAGTCAGTTTGGCAGATTAAATAACCATTTTCTGTTGTAGTTTGATTGTAAACAGCTTCACTGTGTCCTTACGCAAGTGGCTGTTTCTGCTCTACGCTACGTTTTATTTTTATTTATTCACATTTTAAACCCCTGTAATAGGCCCACGAAATGCCGCACATTAAACCACACCTTTTCCCCCTTCTCTTTCTGCGCCGCTACTTCTGACGTCTGTTGACACTGCTACGTTTACTTTAATTCACCTGCTACTGTCCATCTGTTAAATACCGCAGGGACACCAAATGCAAAGTGTGCCTGAAGTTTGCATCATCTGCTCTAACGTCCCCAGCTTTCTGCCCCACTCCAACTTTATAGCCCTGCACTTACCCTGCCGCGGGGGTTGGGGGCGTCCGGGAGGAAGAGGAGGGGAGGTAGGGGAGGTTGAGGGGAGGTGGGAGGGCTGGCCCCTGCTGATTCAGAGGTTAGGAATTTGCATCTGATTGCTGTTTGTCAACCAATGATGTGAGTGTGCAAACCGGAGAGTCTCTCCACGCCTCTCCCTCTCTCTCTCTGTCTCCGTGTCTGTCTAGCGCCACGCAAATTCTAAAAAACACAATTACATGCGCAAGCCGATCGAGTGGGTGTCATGCAGTCACATGAAGCCACTTCATTTCTAGTCGATATACATGCTAATCACCTCTCTTCGACCTCGTTCCGGGGCTTTTTCCTCTGCGCGTAACCGGTGAGAGCGAGAGCACTCGGGATTCAGAGTCGGAGAAAACAAGGAATGTTTCTTCCGGTTCTGAGGAGTGAGAATACCGAACGGAAGCCGATGTGGTAAGTTTATTTTCTCTCTCTGTCTCGCTCGCTTTATTTGTGCCCGAGCTACCCTTTAAACTCCGTTCACTTTTCCGTGGCTTCCTCCTTGTGTTTGTCTCGTCATTTATTAGAAAGGACGCAGTTTTTTTTTTAATCGATACGCTTTCAAATGTCTGATTAATTGCCTATTGCAAAGGTAGCGGATGGACTCAAGGACCGTGAATCACTCACAACGGTTAGATATTAACCATACGCTGATTGAAAGGGCACTTTTTTGTAAACTATTCCCCCAACACCCCTCAAATATTTATATATATATGTGTGTATATATTTATTAATACTATGAAGGGTAAAAATAGAAAAGGTTGTCATTTTAATAACTAGCAGAGTCTCTGGTGTTACCTGGTAACCGTGTCACCGTAGTAATAAGGGCTATCAGTCGATTTCTGACCGTTACGTTGTCACTTCAACCACGTCCTAAACGTAAAGCCGTAAGTTCACACTGCAGGAGGATTAGTCACACTACACACCGGCTTCGTTACGTGCCAATAACAGACAAAGCGCTTTTTTCTTGCTGTTAAATCTTCGCGGCTAAAAGTGCAAATTAAAGTATGTGTGTGGGGGTTTTAAATAAACGTATATAAATATATGCATATATACATTTTGAACGACGTCTGACGCCGCGTCCCGTAGAGCTCGAACCCACTGTTTTACACCGCCATTACACATCCACTGTATGATTGTGTAACATAAGTACATCCCATTGCCCTTTAAGTTAGATATAAAAGCCAGCGCATGTGACTGCAAGTACAGCTGGGGCCTTCACTGGAGGTCTGGCTGCCATGTTCTGCATTAGCTGGGAGGGGACGAGAGAGAGGTGGTGGTGGTGTTTTTGCAGGGGGGAGTCACTGGAGACCAAAAGGTGGCTTTATGGACTACTTTGAAGCAGGTTTTTAAGACTGCTTCATGCCACTCACTTTAGTAAGAGCAGGCAGCCCCAAAGGCCTGTGCTAAGAAGCAAGGTTAACATATGTAGCTCCATAAGACTCTAAACCACAGTCACGCGACAGTGGACGTAAAACCAGGTTTTCCTAATCTAGCTCTGTCCTTTCACATAAAAGAGGCGGAGCTGGAACCAGATGACCAATAGCAGACATGGACAGGGTCAGTGCTGCATTTTTCCTCCGAAGAAGGAAACCAAACCAACGTAATTTTGCGGAATTTAAGCTCTAGCACAGAGCAAAAAGCATTAGTTTTACATATTAGAGCGGAAAAGAAGAAATGAATGTTGACTGTGTAAATTCCTGCGTTAATAAGCCTTTCAGTATCAATGCCAGCTTTTTTTCTTAAATTATCTGACTACCTGTAATCACAATGCTTCAGGCTAAAGAAGTCTTGGTAGTATAGGGAGCAAATAGATGAACAAATAAAGACCTATCAAAAAGTAAGTAGACTTTGCAAATCTTATCAACAAGTAAGTACATGGCATAAGTGCTCCCTCTCTCTGGATTATGTTTATATAAAGGCCTCTAGGACAATTTGATGGCTGTGAAATTGCCTACAGCCTGCACTTAAAAAAAGGAAGAATGAATGAATGAAGCCTCTCATCAAGGAAGTTCTATTCGTTCAGGGGTGACATGCTTTTCAAAGGCTTACACACATCTGTCAGTCAAAGCACAGACTGTCAGGTTTCCAGGTTAAGAATTGTACCTAGGAAAGAAGTTAAATACTTACACTGAAAATAAAACTGTTAAACCTGAAATTACTTCTGAAAACCTCAAATCTTTCTTGGGAGTATGGACTACTCTGATGTAAAAAAAAAAACAACCAAAAACATAAAAATGTAAGAAAATAGATGTACTTAAAGATGTGAAAATAACCCTACACGAGATGTCTGAATGAGATGATCTTCACTAGAGTTCAAGGGTTTTTTCAGTTTCTTACACGTAAAAAAAAATTAAAAATCCCGTAAGTTGCTGACATTTCTGTGTAAGTGCAACTCTGACGCAGCTAGATAAAATCAAGTCCAGTCAAAAATATTCCAAAGAAAAGTCGCGTCACAGTGGTGGCTTGGACACAATGTGCCATCTTGAGTGCTACAGCATGGTAGTGGGAAAGTCCACAGTATGAGCCCTGCAGACTGTTTTCATGTGACGTCCGCAGTTGTGAAAAAGGGGGACAGCTAACGTTTCATCCAAAAGAGTCGAGAGGCCCTCAAACTGTATTTCTCTCATAATAGCCTGTTTTGTCTCACGAGGAACCTCGCAGCCACAACCAAAACTGACTAACATTTGGTTTGTGGTTACTGTTAAAGTTTCTCCCCAAGTAAAGGGGACAGTGGAGTACAGGCACAGGAAATGCCCCGTAGAGTACATTTGTCTGGATGACATTAAACATTTATGACATGAAAAAACAGTCAAGTCTGGTTTCACTGTCTTATTTAAAGGTGGTTTTAGATGCTTTTCCCTTCCATCAGGATGAGTGATTCTTTGTAAAAGTTTTTTTTTTTTTAAAGGCTAATATCTTTGTGCTATTAATCAAAGGATTAGATTCAGATTCATGATTCTCTGTTGCAAAAATGCAACAAAGTGGTCCATTGTGTGGTTTGAGGTCACAGGCACGGTTTTGAAATGTTCTTTGTGTGGTCATCAATTTTGCAAAAGTTTTCAGCACGCACACAAATTGATGAGGAGGACGGGTGTTTTTGAAACCCAAAAAGGTGAACCAGGAGAAGACGCCGCCAGGAAGGTTGAGAGCCGTCCCGCGTCTGAGTGGGCATAATTACTTCTTAAGTTGTTGCTGACAGACACAAAGAAAGTGTGAGCTGCTGAGTCGCAGAACTTGGCATCATCTTAACAGAGATTTCCAGGTCCTGATCATGGCACCCACGCCCCACCATTCCTCAATCACCTTAGAAAAACTGCACCGCTAATCTGTTTGGTCCCCTCTCCATATGGTATCCTTTGACAGCGGCATAGGGAAAGGCAGCTGAACCAAGCCAGGCTTTTATTTTACATTGTGATTGGCTCATTGTAGATTAGAAATGAAATGACTGGCATTCAAAGCAAAATGTAATGTGTTTCTCACTCATTGCTTGTTTTTTTTTGTTTTTTTTTTGTTCCATTTATTATCGTAGGCGATTGAGCCTGCTATCATCTAGATATCAGTCCTGCTGACACATGTATTGTGGGTTGGCCGATGGCCATGTCTGTCTTCTCATTGCATTGGCTTCTACTGATATGCCTGCTTTCTGTTGCTGGTTCCCGGAGTGTGTTTTCTGTTTTCTTTCTCCTGCTGTTTAACATAGTCCCTTCTGGCCTCTTCTTTAATCTGCTGTTTGGGATTCTCTGTATTGAAACCATCTCAGGTTCATGTAACACCTTATATATTAGTCATGTGTGTTCCATGTAGAGCCAGACTTCTGCTTTTCTTTTAATTCACTTTTTCTTCTTCTTTTTGTCTTAAGGAGTTTGTGCCGCTGGTAGGTTCACACCTCACTGTTTCTCACCTTGCCAAATGCACATATCAGCATGAGGCAGTGTCACGTTGTCATTTACAAGCAAAAATCCACATAGCTTCCTGTCGTCAGCGGTGCCTGATCTCAGCCCAAGTGTATTTGAAGATCATTTGGAAGTAGTAAGTGTCACATGCAAATAGCTTGTTCAGTTTGCCTCCGAGCATCACGGCTGAGTGAACGGCAGACACTGGCAGTTGGCCACTAAACTGGTTAGTGGCTGTGCGTTAATGACAGGAAGACATGCTCAGACAGGCCAGACAAGTCTACTTGTTTTCTTATCAAACTATAAACCTTTTACTGTGTTCAGGGCTATTTTCTTGCTTTAATTTGTCACCCTTCCTGCAACTCCCAAGGGGTGTGGGCTTTGGCTCAAGGACTGCATTGACTACTTGAACGCTTCTGTATCAGCAGAGATTGTATTACTGTGAATGTTGAGTGCTGTCTGCACACCACAAGCCTTCCTGCCATTAAAGTAGTGGGAGGCAGCGCGGCTTGGCTGCCTTTCAGCTGTTCTTGTGCCAAAAGCTGCTTTTCTGAAGGCACTGTTCAGCACGTGGGCCTTTAACTGTAGCCAAAAAATGCAGGGGAAAAAAAACCATACAGTTACTTCATTACGTGGGCTCGAGTCATGAGGGAATCCCAGCAGGCCTGACAGTGACGTAGGCAAAAGGAAAGGACTAAGGCTTTGGGATGGCCCGCAGGTCCTGAACCAACCTGCTCAGACAGATGTAAGCTTTGTGAACGCAGTGGGCTCGGCGCCAGACAGGTGCCCCGTGCTCATCTGCCCGGATACCAGGCCACAGCTGCAACATGTTGACGTGTCCATCAGACCTGAAGCATTTCTGTTACATTTAGCATTACGTTTGTGTCAGCTGGCACTAACAACCCACCCGAGTAATCAAAAACTAATTTAATCAAATATAAATCCTTTGCTAGCAGATCAAGCTGCTGGTATTTATTAGGCAGAGATGTTTAATCCACATCTAATACAGAACTGACCACCAGCAGTGTTTTTTTTTCTTTTCACTGTGTGCAAAGAAGTCTTTATCATAGGTTTCCAATCATCCATCAACCGTGTACACACAAAAGGATGGATTGTAAAAGATCACAATGTAGTGACGTGACCATGTAGTCTCTATATAAACCGACAAGTTAATCCAGTTTTCATGCCATTCAATGAAAAATAACCCCCCTCCACCTTTCCCATGCTAGACGAAGCGGCGTCATATCATCACTCTGGAGCCACAATGGCAGTGCACTGAAACCTGCGAGCTGCAACTCGCCTGTCTCCTGAGCTTCTGTTTTTCATGGCAAAGTTCTGACCTGGTAACTGCCTTTATAGTAATCACTGAAGGTACTAAAGTAGTTGATATTAATATTAGCAGTACAGGTGGCTTGATTAAATGCACTAATTGTATTTAAAAAAGTAGTGGGGTTATTTTTGTTTTGTTTTTTTAAAACCATAAAGGGAATAGACACTTAGTAAAGTACTGAAAGCTTA